ACCTCGAGTTTTGCTTGCCCCCTTACAATGGAAGATAAGTTTTGTGGTGTTATCATGTGCAGAGTATGAAACCTTCTAAGAAATCCTGCAATTTTTTCATGTTTCTTGCCCCTACGTACCTGTCCACATGAAAGGGGAAATGAAGTTGATGACAATGAAGATGGTACTATAAGCACCAAGATTTATATTTTTTATTTTATTATTTTATTATTTTTCACAAATGGCCTTGTTCATGTTGGTCACTTTTAGATTATGCATGAATTGCACCTTTCTCTTCTTGCAAAAGATGAAATCTCCTATCTCCCTTTGCCATTTACTGTTTGCTCAGAAAAAAGAACAAGATTTTACCAGCTTTATGAATGAACTGAGAATAGTTCCATGTTTCCAAATGGTATTAATTACCAGATTTATTCCAGTCACAATCATGAATGATGTACTGTGTCTCTTCCTTGCTTGTCAATGGTTATGAGCAGACAGTTCTGGAGTATAGCAGGCTCAGACAGCCAGCTACGTACTACTACACACTCTCTTTCAGTGGATGCAGTTATGATTACAAAAGCAGATCTTGAAGGCTATCATAGTGCTTTGGATGATATTACTGGTAAGGAGCTCGTGGTTGTGCCCAGAATGGAGAGAGCCAGGCCCATGGTAGCTCGATTGTCGTGCCTTTTTGCATCATTGAAAGTTTCTGAAGTCCGTGTACCTGTGAATGGGAGGCTGACTCAAGCACGTGCCTGCTGAGTCTGTTGCTCGTTTTTACATTTTGTGGTAGTTGCTTGTACAGAAAATGCAAATAAGTATAGATTGCAGAGGTCTGATAAATATCTGTTCCAGTAATTGTGTACGACAGAAGCAGAAGGAAAAATATAAAACGAAGAAAGCTAGAAGAGTTCTTCAATGATATGTATAACATGGTGTCAATCATACAATCAGCTTTGCTGTATTATATATCCATGTGTAAATCGTGCAACAATTTTCATTTTGGATTCATTTGTGAAAAAGCATATGCTTTGCATGATTTGTGGGAAGGACCAAGAAATGAAAGGGTCTAGGAGTTTTCAGTGTTCTGGTTAGCCTGGTAGGAAATAGCAAACTTACCTGTTTTTAGGTGGTGCCTATTACTTTGTTGTTTAGCTGACATTCTTCAATGAAAGCAACTGTGCATTTAGGCCTCTGGATTATAAGTCTGTCAATGTTGCATTATTCAGCACCTTGCGAGTTGCCAAATCTTATCTTATTTTGAAGTTATGCCCGATGGTACGATGGTCTTGTCAAATAGCTGAAGTTTCCAGGCTGAAGTGTTTGGGGACTTTCCTAAAAGCCAAGATTCTTTACACGAACCAGTCCTGGCAGCAGCAATAGTTCGAAAAGGATTCGAAAGGAGATTTAGCAATAAGATAGCTATAGGGCGGGGCCAAAGGCAAACAAATTGATGCAGACCATTATTTCAAGCATTAGTCCTTGGCTACTGATAAAAAGAACGACTTGAAAGATTGACCTGTCGAGTATCTACCTATAATTTCCTGTTTTATACGATCAAGAACCTGTTCAAAGAGGTTTCAACATTGAACAAGTGAAAAGGAGAGAGAGACACATAGGAAAGAAGGAAACTTCATCATGCTCAGATGGCAGTATGGTTAGGATATGTTGGTTTGTCAGCCGTTCCCTAACAAGAAGAATATGCCAGCCGCTTTACGGATAGAAAGGACCAAAACAAGTCTTTGTTAAAGGAAGCTACTCGCAGGCATATAACAAAATTGATAATTCTTCGCTGGCTACCATTCGTCACAAAAATGATACCATCTGCTTCCCCTATTTATTTGTACTGATTATTGGCTTGCCTAACGTATCTTCCTGTACCTTTTCCAAGGGCCGATTTATTTTGAGAGTTTGCTTTATATGTACTGCACTTTTTTAAAGACTTATTTGGTGCAAAATCACATTTCAGAGTTACTCCCTAAAGTCATTTTGTTACTGATTGAATGGATTCCTGTTCATGTAATTTGCATACATTTTCAACGGCTAAACAAGAGATGGTGTGGCAAATTTATACTAATTGTATCAATCACAATCTTATCTAACCTTGTCTTCAATATCCCAAAAAGTTATACTTAATTCAGAGCTTTGTTTTCTTCATCTAAGCATATATGAAATTTTAACAGTCCTTCCAAAACCTTCACTACTAGGTGCTGATTTTCATATTGTTCAAAGAAAAGGAACATATATACTTTCAGAAAGAAAATGGTTGATCAGTTCCTTTCACCTTTTGTTGCGTCATTCACTTTCTTTTCTAAATTCTGATAGGCTTCAGGGTAGATAGTATCAGGTATTTGTTACATCATTGATTATAGCATATGTAGTGTTAGCCTTTGTTTTTTGCACTATTATTTATTTGTTGCATTAGCCGCACGAGGAACCTAACTAGTTTGGCCATGTCTTTGATTGCATTATTCATCTATGCGTCAAATTCTCACCAAACTTTCCTGACTATAACAGATTTTGCCACAGCCAATCTGACTATGTCAGAGTAAGAAACAAAAGACACAAAAAGGAAGTAAATTTAAGTGAACTTCGCTCTCTTGAAGAAAACAGATAGATTCACCATCAGAATTACACTATACAGGCAAGTGATCTGTCATATATAATTGAAAAAGTCACTGTGTAATAAGTGACAGTGAAAATGAATAAATCACCTTCCATTTCCTAGTACTCGAAGTACATAAACAAGCTTCTAAGCTGAAATGAGAGAGAAGGGAAACGAATATTGGGTTACTATCTAAAAAGCAGCTGTGGCCTGGCCTTGGCCTCGGCCTCGCTGTTGAAGAATCCAAAAAAGGTGGGTATTGCCGTGTCGTGATATTCCTTATTGCACTACACGATTCTCCCTGCAACTTCTTTATGGGACCAAATCTCTGCAAACCCCGAAACCCTAACACTGCTAATACTTCTTTCTTTCAAAAGCACCCAAAATCTTCCATAAAGTGAAAGAATTGAATATCACCTTTTTAGGTTGAATTGAACAAGACATGTCATTCCTTTTTATTTTCATTGCATGTGGAAAGAGACATTTCCTCTTCCCACTCTATTAATTATATCACAACATCCCTACTATAGGATCTTCCTCTTTTTGTTTATTTTACCTATTTTATATACTAACCTCAAGCATCTCTACGCCACAATATTTGGATTCTCCCAATCCTTCTTCAAATTACCCTAAACCCCTTTTTGCTTATATATAATTAAGTTTTATAAATATTTAATTAGCAAGTATATACAGTCAATATGGGGGAAATGTTCATCAATGGATTATAATTTTTGCATATTACATCAATGAACTAAACCTAATTTTTTTAGGCTATATCTAGATGGAAAATTTTGATATTTTCAGTGATTCTTTGAGATAGTACTGATAAAATGGGGTAGCATAATATATAAAATGTACTCCACAAAGATGCATGCATGTAGACCATAGTACATATATAGATAAATGTACAAGTATAGTTTATATAAATGACGAGATAAAAGAAATTTTCCATTAAGTTATGAGAATGTACGGTCATTTCAAAGCTTAAAGGTTATTCTTAATTTTCTACTCATTTCCAATAAGTTATTCCCTTCAGAAACTACGGTGAAGCTGCCTCGCCCTCCGTGACTCCATCTTTATTTCTTGCACGTCCCAATCCCATCGAAGGAAAAGATAAAATATGCACGTTTCTCTCTCTTTCTCTCTCTGTCTTTGTATTTGGAGGGAGATAAGCTCATCTCATCATCTCCATATAACGGTAGTATAATACAGCTGAAAAAAAGCTCGAATCTGAGGAATAGATATAAAAGCAGGAAAGAAGTTACCCAAGTAACAAAAAGACAAAGAGAGACTGATACTTTAAGATGTGATTTCTGCTGCTATACTATTGAAAGATTCCAAGATTCCAATAAGAAAAAAATTTTTAACGAAACCCCACATTCTCTTCTATCCTCCTTTCGATATATCTAAATCCAAAGAACCAAATAAAACTCCTTTACTAGGAGTATGACAGCCACTTACAAAAAAAAAAAGAAGAAAATCATGGAGCATGCATGATATGAAGTTTAGTTCATAAAAAAAAAAGAAAAAAACATGCAAGTAGACTTCCTCGTGGCAATGTCCCATTTGTCACCTCAAAATGACGTGTGATAGCTACTTTCAAGAAACTGTTCGGTAAGTGGCTGAGTGCAGTGGAATGTCATTTAGTGAGGTGTGAGGACCCATCATTTAAACCAAAAACCAGCTAAAGTACATTTACTTTTCATTAGGCAAACATTACAGTACCAATACAAGCTCCAAAGGAGCTCTTATTTTAAGCCCCTCTCAGGATAGAACTTCTCCCCCATTTGTCACTAAAGGCAAACAAAGGGAAAAAGGATACTCAACCAGAAAAATAAATATTGAAAAGTATACTTGACCTGATAAATCAAATGCACCAACTTTCTTCATGCATCATTAGCAATAGTAGTTGCTTTTTGAGATTGATTTTGTGAGCATAATGGTAGCACTGCTGTCGCCTTAGGTGCTCAGGTTGTAGGGACAAAGAATGGAAGGAACTAATTTACTTCAAAGATCGGATTTGACTGTGGAATATATATATATATATATATATATAAATATATAATATAGATGATGAAAAGTTACTATGATCATGATCCTGAATTCCTAATTCTTCAAGGACTAACTTTTCACCTTTGGGGTACATGCAGATATATGGCCTGCCGACAAGTCATGATCCCTAGCTAGTTGATCTATTCTCTTGAGATTAGAAATGTGGATTAGGCGAATTAGCTAGCTCTAGCCTTACAATTTTTGCATAGGTTGTACACTTTTAGAACAATATTTAAAAGTCTTATTCATTCAATAATATAGCAATTGCAGAACCTAAATATTCTTTATATTGTCTGCAAGTATCAAAAGAAGTGGAAAAAGTGGCACAGCGATTGCAATAAAGAATTCTGTAACCAATATTTTCATTTCTATATAATATATATAAAAGGAAATCGTAAACCCCCTAATCCACATATATTTTACTAGAAAAGGTGACTAAAACAACACAATTAACAAGGTATTTGTTTGCAATTTGCACAAACTCTTTGGTATTTTGTTTGAAAAGAACAAGAAAAGAAATTATACAAGAGCTTCGAAATAATAAAATAATAAGAATAGCCATGAAGATGATATTGTAACATTCTTAATGGTGATGATTTTCATGCAGGGCGGGATTTTCATTGGGTCTTGGGTTCTCCTTCTATTTGTCAGTAGAGAGCAGCATTTTTCCTGGGTTCTTTTCCTTGTTTTACTTTCTTTCAATCTTCTTATTCTTTTTGTTCTTTCTCTTTCTTTCCAACATGGACTGTGTACAGTTAGTTCAGTTGAGACTTCGAGAGTCATAAGCCAGGTCCCCCATTAGAAAAAGAAAGAAAAAGAGCAAGCTGTAGTAGATGGTTTCTTGGACTCTCCTTGAAAAGAACTTCACCAGAGGCTTCAAGTACTAATAATGATGATAATAATGATGTCTGCAAGGTTTGGTTTGTTTGTCTAATATTTTTGCTTCTATCCATGAGGATCCTGGTTGTCAGGGTCAGGCCAGAAGGAGTACTTCAACCATTCAGCCTCTTGTGGGTTTGTGATGGATGATTCCTGCGAAAAGCCCATGTAAAAAGAAAAAAACTTAGGGTTTAGGGATTTAACCATAAAATTTTCCTCTAAAAACAACAAATGAAGAAGCTGCCTTTTTTATCCTCTTTCCCACTCCACAATCAAGTTGTTTGTTTCTTTATCTATTTTATGAGGCAACACATGATAAAAAGATTTCATGTTGCTATCACGCATACATCTTCTCTTCACTCTTCCAGACCCCCTTTCTCAACCCAACCAAAAGAATGTTAATACTATCTGTTTTCTTTGCTTTTGAGATATTTATTCTCTTTCTCTTTTTTATTGCCCCTGCTGTTTATATAGTCACAAAGGAGCAAATTTTCCAGAATTTACAGCTCTTCTTAGCAACATATATTCAAAGAAAAATCAAAGGCGGTGTAGGTAAAGTAGTATAGGCTTTAGTTTTCCAACTACCTTTTTTGTCCAAAAGAGAAATATAAAAGAAGATTCTATTCGTTTCAAGAAGTGATTTAATTTGAAGGCTATATGGTTTCACATTCTGCTATAAATTATACTTTAATATTTGGAATTCTGATTCTTATTCATATATATATTTGAATAAAATATACTAAAAACCACATGAAAGCACATCAAACTTGCCTAACATATTGATTTCTACTGAATCTTAAGAGAGTGGTAAAGGAGAAATAAGGTTATTGTTCCTTTTCAGGATGCTGAATGCCATACTTAACTCTCATGAAAAACAAGAAAGAAAAAAAAATACTAAAAGAGATAAAGAGAAAAAGAAAAGGATTCTGGTTTCTCTCTTTATTAAAAAATAATAATATTACTAAAGAATTTGGTATTTTTTTCTCTTCTTTTTATCCTTTAATTGTTTTAGAAATATACTTCCCTTACTTTTTCTTTCTTTCTTTCTTTCTTCCCTTGCTTAGCTGGTATTATGACAAACAAGGCTCATGGATTTCAGGGTCAAAAAGTGGATACTCACTTCTTTGATATCAGTTGAAGTGCAACCCATTATTAGTTCCTCCAAACCTGATGCAGACCTTCCTCCCAGTTTATGTTGCTGCTGCTGCTGCTGCTGTTGCTGTTGATGCTGCATTTATTCAATTCAACAAAATATAATAAACCAAAATTTCCCATCTAAACCATCATGTCTTCAATAAGGTTTAAAAAGTGAAAAGGCAGTTCATTGTTCTCAACTTAGCTGATACTAAAAGATAGCATCACTAAACTGAGTCTGCCACATCTACACCCCCCCAAAAATCAGACCCAGTTTCATGACCGAGCTACATCCCATCAATTCATTTATAATTAAGGTCAGACTTAATTAAAAACATGCATGGTTGAGTTAATTATAAAAAACGTTTAAAAAGTAGGGAAAAAGGCTTCAGCTTAATAAGTATAATACTTAATATAAAAATGAGGCATGCATGTGTAAAACACTGTGTCATTTTGTTCCTGCTGGCTACATAAAAATTATATCAGAAAACTGGATTAAAAAAAAGAGGTACCACTTAAAATTGTGGTTTCTAGAGAAAGTTATTAATTTCATTGAATTTTGAAAAATAATTGTACTATCTAAAAATATTGTATGTATAAATATCTTGTTCACACACAATTTGACTTGTTTTAACTTGGTGGACTATTAATTATATCTATATGAGGATAATTAATTGAGGTTAATATGATTGATATAATGATGATATATTACCTGAAAACTTTCATTTTGAAGCATTATTCTGGAGACATGGAAGGAGTCCTCATCAAGAATGATGGAAGAATGGTGAAGGGGAGGTGGAGAGATGATGGTGGAGATGGGATGTGAAGAACTGCTAATGTGGAAGGCCGTAGTAGCAATCTGATGATGTGTATGATGGTGGTGTTGTTGTTGTTGTTGCTGATGATGATGATGATGATCAAGGGCGATATGATGTGGCTGTGGATGCTCGCGTATCTCTTCGCACGTACCTGGAGCTGGGGCTTCCCTTGTTTCTGAAGCTTCTCCAATCCCTACCTGCAATGGACACCCCCAAGAAGCAGTTTGCTAGCTAGTCCATTTTCAAACACAACATTTTCCATCGCTTTAATTCTTTTTTTTTATTACCTTTCTTTTAAGCCCTTCAGTTTTTCTATAGTTTTACTTTCAGTTTCAATATTGGTCCTACTAGTGGGTTAAAAAAGTTTAGTTAGCTCATAAAGATAATCAATTGAGGTACATATAAGTTTTTATGCCGTGTATGCAAGCAATTGACTAAGAGAAAATCAACCTTATTAATTACCGTGTGATCTGTTGTTAAAGTTATGAATTACTAGTTCTAATTATCATAATATAAATTTTGATAGTTTCAATATATATATATATATATATATATATATATATAAAGCAACCCTAAAACTTAATAATCTCTTCCCTTTACTTTTATTTTATGTAAGATGAGATATGCTGACCACCTTGATGTTTAAAACTGGAATGCTTATTTCTGCTAGTCCAGTAACAACATGCTAGCTTGTACAAGAAAATTGGATTTATTCATATATCGAATTAATTTTCTTTTTTGGTTTTTGTTCCTTTTTGTGGTTAGGTGTACTTGTCAAGTTGACGGATACGATGTCTAAGCATAAAATTACAAGGTACAAACTTCAATATCAATTTATGCTTTTATTTCTTGGTTGTTGATTAATGTTAAAAGTTGGAGCGGTAGGAAAAATTTTTGGAAGTTGTAGAAGGGAGAAAAACACATTTGCATAAATGAACAAAATTGTACCTCATCGAAGCTTTTGCTAAATGGGGTGAAACTGAAATGATCAGATTTAAACTGTTGGATATCCACGGCACCGGCATAACTTGATAAAGCAGCAGCAACCCCAGCTCCAGAAACTTCATCTCTTAAAGGGATTGCTTCCTTTGACGAACAACTTCCACTGCCACCATCTCTTCTGCTATTAGGGTCATTGCTTCCTTCAAGAGTTGTTGCACTTCGATGATCAGACCAGTTGCACTGCCTCGGTTGAGTCTGATAAAATATCTTTGACACCACAAGTTCTCCTTCTTTCTCTTCTTCGTGCTGACCGAGATGATATTGGTGCATGACCCAATTGGTCTTTTCGGGTTTCCGATTCTTGCCAAAATTTGTGTAGAGAACTAGGATTTTCTTGCACCCTTTCTGTTTGCCATTGACCAAGACTGGCCTTGTCTTGCCGGTTTTGTGCCATCTTGTTTCTCCTCCTTGTAAGTCACATTCGGTTTGAATCTTCCTTCTTTTTCTTGTCCCAGTTGTGTAGGCCTTTGATGGTCTGTGGAAGAAATGCCTGCTCAAGCCATCTCTGGTTACTCCTGCAAGAAATGTAGTAAACATTGCCAAAATCAAAGTTAGGTTGGCTTAGGTGCAAATCTATGAGAAAATGGAAAGAATCTAGAAAGTCAAAACCAAAATCATTGTAAAAACTAAAAACAACCCCCTGGAATTTATGAGGTTGCAGCTTGAGATAATATGGTAAGACCTAACAGCGTTGAATAATGACGGAAGCAATCACACAAGACAGAGGGATGAAGCATTATCCATATTTTTTGACTACCTGGGAGTTTCTCAGGATGGGTATAACAAATCCCATCTTCTCCTTCAATGGTAGGAATGAACTCATCTATCAAAGGGTGAGACTTCATGTCTTTAGCTTCTACTTTTGCTTCGAGGTGTTCTATCAGTTCTTGGTCTGTCGGATCAAATTTCACTCCAGCTGGTAGACCCAACCAGTCCTGCAAATTTTCATTTATTAGAATCAAGTTTGAACTAAAGCAAAAGGAAAGAATAAACAAAATGAAGAGAAAAAGAAGCTTTAATCAAAAATTTTGAATGTAGTTGTTATTAAAGAAACAACATGACTATGGAAAAAGAAAAAACAGCAAGCATAATTCTCATAATTTTCCTTGATTTCTTCTTTTGTCAAAATCTTGCTGTAGAAGCCAAGAATATTATGAGACTAATCCGTACCGGCTTTCCTTCAAGCTTGTGTCCGCAACCTGGGCACTGCTTGGATCCACACAGCTGATGCTCTTCAAGCTTTGCATCAATGAGATCAGAGCTACTGATGGAGCCCAGATTACTCTTATTCATTGTTTCTTTCCCTTTTAGTGGTGTGGCAGATGCTCTCTTCTTTCTCTCAAACTCTTGAAATCTTCTATGAAATAACCAACTTTATATAGCTGCCAACTACTCATAATATCCCAGTTACCTTCTCTATACAACAGAAACTACCATAAGCCTGATCGAGATCTGATATTCCTTTTAAACTAGAAAAAAAAAAGACAAAGAAATAAACTGTTGGGTTTGATAAAAAAGTAGTTCCTAAATGGATAAATGATTGAAACTATGTGATTTTTGTAACTTCAGACCGTGTTTATTCACATACCAAAAGAAAACATCAAAAAGGAAGAAGAAGAACATGTCAAAATCCTGAATAAACAAGAACCCAAAAAGAGAAAAGCTTTTGGATTTTAAACTCTATATATATAAATACACATGTTTATAATCAACAATAGGTGCTATATTTTTTAATGAAACTATATATTACCTAAACCAATCAAAAACAAGAAAGTTACGCAAGATCCAGATGAGAAATTTATATTCTCCAAAACAAAATATTTTTAGTTTCCCACAAGGAAAAGGAAAGGGAGAGGAAGGGAAGGGAAGAAGGAGAAGAAGGAGAGTGGAGTGAGTGAGAGAGGAAAAGAGGAAACTGTTACAGTGGGATTGAGCTATAAACCTGCTTTAACCATTAGGAAAACACCAGAATTCCCTATCATAGCTACTTTAACCGAAGCCCAAGTGAGAAAAAGAAAAAGTTGCCCTTCCTAACCTACACACCACCTTTAACCCTTCGCTAATTTAAGTAGCCATATGGCTAGGCGGTTTAAGAGACAGGAAGAGAGACAAAGATAGAAAGGAAACCCGGTTGGCTGTTTTTTTTTTTTTTTTTTATTTCTTCTCTAAAAGCTTAAGACTTCCCACACCTTTGTTTTGAAGGTCTTGACTACTAAAGCAAAAGGGAAGAAACGGCCTCCACAGCTGTTACTTGAAGCACATATTCAAAAGCATGGCAACCCTATCTGTATAATTATACTTAAATATATAATCTTTAAAAAAAAAATTTAACCCCAAAAAGAGCTTTTTATATAATATTACGTTAGATTAGATAACATACAAATCTATTGGGCCAGTTTTTGATGGTAGATATGAAAGGGTGAAATCAATGAAGTTAAGAAATGTGAAATCTTAGGCCGTGTGCTAAAAGGAAAATACTAAAGGCATTCAAACTTGAAAGTTATACACAGTGGAAAAACTTTGAGTAACGAAGAAGATAACTGGGAAAATTACAGTTTTTTATTAGTTTTTCCATAAGATATATGTGTAACAGATTAGAGTTAGACCCTATGATGAGAAAGGGCAAAAATTTTCTTCAGGAGAGAAAGGAGAGATGGTGGAAAAAGAAATAGAAATAGAGAAGAGTTAGAAGAGGGGGAAAAAAAAAAAGATGACAAAAACTCACATGGGTTTTGAGATGGAGTGCTGATCATGATTCTTTTGCCATGAATGTTGCAGAGAGAGAAGAATTATAGGGTTGCTTGAAATACAAGGTAAATGAGCAGTGTACTCGATGGACCACCACCACCTCCTTCTAATTAGAACTATACAAAATCATATAAAAACTAGTATATAATTTTATTTATATTAGTATATAAGAAACAAATCTGTACAAAATCTTCAAGTAGAAGCACGTTACAAAATTTTTACTCATCAGGAAATAGACACAGTATTTAAAAATAAGTAATAATCTGTTCTTCTCTTGGCTTGACTTCAACTGTTTTTTATTTTTATAAAAAATAAATAAAAGATTATTTCATTCCAAAACTAAGATATACATCGAGTTTTAACAAAACTGACTCAATTGAATTACTAGAATATTTTTGGGTTTTTTTTTTTTTTGTACCTGTTTTCATTACTAGTTTACTACAGTCATTTTTCAGAAAGAGAGATCTAAAGGACGTAACACTTGCACCAATAGATGAAAGGAACAATGAAAATTGGACCCACAATAATGTGGGCCCAAGATGGACATCTTTGTGTATTGATCCGATAGCAGATGATGGCTAGCCTTCACGTTTATAACATTTTTTTTTATTGGGTTTAGTCAAGGAGTGCATGATGAGGGACCAGAAGTTTGTTTTCAGAACAGGTAGATGACTATGATTGCTTCTGTGTCTGATATATATTTTTAATTTCCTTTTTCTTTTTAATTATTTACTATTATTTTTTCTTCTTGAGTTGAAAGAATTATGTAATTTCATTGGACAGGGAAGAATATATCCTGGAAGGGTTTTCTCAAATTTTTTTTTAATTTGGAAACAAATGAGGGTAAAAAGAATAAAAACAGTGGGCCAAACATAATTCAAGTTGTGAGCAACCTTTGATTAGGTTTCTCTTTTTGTCCCAAAGGGAATGAGAGAATAAGATTGCTCTCAGATTATCCAATAAGTTGACTGATCAGGGCAAAAGGGTCCAACAAATCTTAAAAACACTTGTTTTAACTTTTATGGTTTTTTTATTCTCCTCATGTCATGTGTCCTAAATTTCATAAATATTTGTCAATTTTTAGCCTCATAACCACTAATTATTTAATTTTCTTCAAGTAAAGAAAAAAATGAGGAGCAAGGGAATTAATTGCAAAAAAGCACTGAATGCGAGCAATGAACATGAAATATTCCAAGAATATTTTTTTCCTGTGTGCATTTGGAAGCTTCTTTACAATAGAAATTAAGACTTATAGTATAATTCATGTATGAGAATATCTCTTACATGAGAACAATGGCTCTTATAAATTGTTAATTAGAAGTACCTCATAAATTTATTTGTGGAATTTGAAGTCAACTATGACCTTTCTAAAAGTTTATAAAGTCGTATGCCTCAACTTTGATGCGAATATATCTCTATTCTCTATCTCCCGTAGTTATGGTTGAAAGGCTTAAGCATAAACACGAAGAACAGCAAACTTTATGCCAAATATAGGTCAGTTGGCAGATTTATGCACACAATTAAAAGGAACGTCAATTATTTCAACATAGAACAAATTACGATCATATAACCCTTTTGAAATAATCTTAGGGGCACAACCAATTTCCATACCGTCTGCAACATGTTAAGAGAGTAAAAATATGAAATCAAAAGCATCCATCATAAATTCGAGTAACCTGAAATAAGTCATAACAGCAAAAGCTGAAAATTGTGCCATAACAGGCAAATGTTCTGACATACACAGCAAAAATTTCCCAGTCCAAATGTACACTCAAGTAAATAACCATTCTTGAATTTACTTTGGGTCATTGGTAAAACAGAAGTGAACATAGAATTTGGAGACCTTTTTCCCGAACTATGACCAAAGTCATGGAATTCAGCAGAAAACATGCCAGTCCCATTGTCTGCAGCAGCTATTTCATTAATATATTGCTTGCTGGGAAGAAAAAATTTATTGATTAAAATGGAAAAATCTTATCTCCTTATTTTCAACCGCATCTTGTTATAAAACAACTCAAAGGCACACAGATGCACAGCACTGTAGAAAATGGGTCAAATGGTCGTCACATTCGACACATGAAAGCAATCTCATGTTTCACTTGAACTTGCGGCTAACCGAATCGTAGCTTGGGACATTAATGACTGCAAAATATGAGCAAAACCAACAAGTTAATCTAAAATGCATTCCGATAAAACAACTGAATCCAGTGTTTAAGTTTCAACTAAACTGAGAACTACCATTTCCATATGATGCCATTGTGAGAGGAGAAGATAGAAGCTTTTGGGCTACAGAAGAAATATCCTTCAGTGTAACTTTATCAACAGCCTTCAAGAAAAACTCCACAGGTTTCCTGATAAATTCAAAACAATTTTATTAGCAAGAAGAATATTATTATCCAAGTTTTCTCATAAAAATATAAAAAGCAAACAGTAAAAAGACCATCACAGCGAAGGATAAAAGCTAAGAACCTTATAAACAGCCATACCTCTCACCATATGTCAAGACTTGTTTCCCAATATCTTCTGAAGCAATCATCTGCAGAAAGCACCTCATAAGTAAACAGCAATGCTTGGATGGAGAATATGACTCCTTGACCAGCATAATTAAATTCATCTACAGTCAAGAAATTAACAAAAACAGTTTACATACTCTAGATTCCAAATTCATCAAAATGGCAGACTTGGTTGACTGTTTGGCACGGTCTAGTTGCATTTGGTCAACTGCTAAGAACACCATGAAAAGCATTTCAGTAAAAGGCCATTAATTGAATGTTGCAGCAAAAAAATTGCTGAAATAAAGAACAGCCAACCTCGTCCAGGTGTTGCAACAGCAATAAGCTCCTTGACAGCTACATCAATCGCAGTTGGTGCAAAATCAGAACCCTGAGTCCAAAAGCATGAGTATCATCAAGTAGTACTATGATGCAAACATTATCAGCAGACAGTGTCTACACAAATGGAAATTTGGAATAAATTTCGTTAAAGGCCAAGAAAAAAAGAGTCAAGGGAACCGGGAGGTAACAAATATACACCAATAGGTTATGCTAAGAAAACTTTCAAATGCAGGCCATCATGGCCATTTAACCATGCAATTACTAGAATTGACAAATAGATGTCTGACATGAAAAACAGCAAGGAAAGATTTGGTTGTGAGATTATGATCCAAACAGAAGCTTGTAAAATAATTAAATTTGGGCACAGGGAGAAGAAAGCTCCTGGATGGCATAGTTCAGCACAATTATGACTAATAAAGAGATAAACAGTTGAAAATCATGAAAGACATAGAATGTAACATTATTTTACAAAGAAGATGCCAACATGACTCTCCCATGGCTATCTTGAATCATGACCTTTACCATCCAAGAACTTTCCTAAGTCAAATCTGCCAAAGCAAATATGAACTCCAAAACCACACAGTTTCATAACACCATCAAAGCTGATCTCAAGACAAAATTGTCCAATAATTTTGGCCAAAGTTAGTGGCTTGAACATCTCAAGTGCTATAGACGAGCAAAAAAGAAAGCGAAAAAGAAAGAAGAGAAGAGAATGGTGAAGAGAAAAAAGAACAAAAATTCCCTTTCCAACAAATCAACAACCAAAAAAAATTCCCAATAAATCAGTGCAGAGAAATGCAAAAACCAATGAAAGAAAGTTATAATATCAAATTGAGCTCTTGCCACACAAAAACATAAGGTGGCTGGGGAAAGTAGAGATAGGAATAAAGAACTGTACAAGAATTAATAATGGAAGGTTTAATAGCAGACTTACCACTGTGGCTTGTATTCCAAATATGCCACTATGATTGTAAATACTGTTGAATGCTGAAAATGATTGAACTTGTGGATACTCATTCAAGACACGGACATCTGCTCATATCATAACCAAACCACTTTAATGCTGACTTAAACAAATTGGCTAAAAAGGTTAAGAAATTGAGTGTCTAGTTGCAGAAGACTTTTGAAAATAAAGAAATGCACTAAAACAACACTAAAATTTATCTTTCTTTATTATAACATGTCATATACTGAAGGATTAGAGCGTGCACCAGGATTAACTTACATAGTCTCGAATACATTCCTTTCCCAGGGCCGCCAGCTGAAAATGATCCACCCCCTCCCATTAGAATCTACAGAATAATTAGATTTATCAATTTTCCTATCTTAAAATCATGGTAGCAAGTAGGAAGAACCCAAAAAATGCAATAAAAAATCAATTGGGCAAGATAGAACAATTCCTAGCAAGAATTTTACGAATGACATTAAAAATTAAAAATGGCGTAACAAGAACATTCAGCAGATAGAGAAATCAAATGTTGAAAACCTGAAGAACAGTCAAAATTATAGCCTCCTTCTCCTTGTGCCAACCACCAGGAAGTTCAAATGCAAGAGCAAAATGAGTTTGATCCTGGAATTTGAAATCATTAGCAACTCGGACTGGGAAGAAATATAAAAGCAAAAGTCATTTTAAGTATGAGTTTGGTTAACAGGTGACTATAGGCACTGTTTAAGGAAAATCAAAATACTACTTAAAGGAAAAAATTTTACATTTAATGCACTATTTTCACCAAATTCAATAGCAGAAATGCATTGATTGTAGATTTCTTTCTTTAAATATCACTTTAACCATTGCCTAGTGGCAATGGTTAACATTTTCCTTCAAGTATCTGATACATACCCCTGAATCAGCCTGACAACGATAATCACCTCCAGTATACACGGATTTTGGCTCCTGAAGACGAGGAATATTGGGAAGGTCTGACAAAAGTGGTTCGGCAACAGATAACAATTCCTCGTGTTCAACACCAGATGCTGCCAGTACCATCCGAGAAGCAGTAAAATTTTCCTAATATTTCCATACAAAACCAAGGTTATTAGTGAGAAGGATACACAAAGATGCCTAGAATCTTAACTAGAATAACACAGCTAGCACTGAAAGCATACTACATAAAGTTTCTTAGACTCACCGCAACAAAATCCTCCAAAACTGTACCATTCAATGCATTTACTGCAGATGCTGGGGCTAAAAGAGGATTTGCCAAAGCACCAGAATAGCCAGCCGAGTGAATGGCCTCTAAAAGCAAGCCCTGAGGATTCTTTGCAGCTTCAGCAATTTCCTCTTTCACTTTCTGAAGCTGCAGAAGGTGAAATTATGAATTTTCATCTCACAAGGCATTTAATCTGAAAATGCACAAAACTATTTCGCATAAAAACAGCCAGATTAAGACATTTACCTGTTCATTGACCTCCCAATCCAAGAAAACAGGGTTTCTCACACAGTCAATAAGCAGCTCTACCATTTCAGGAACATATGTCTTCAAAGCATCAAAGGTATATCCAATCTGCTCCCGAGAAACTGCAGCTTGCACATTGCCTCCAATTGCCTCTACTTCCCTCACAATCCGCAAATGGCTGCGGTTTGTTGTGCTCTTGAAGGCCATACGCTCAAGCAGGTGTGAGACCCCAAATGAGGCTGGTGACTCGTAGATTGAACCACAGTCAACATATAGTCCTATTGATGCTGCAGGATTCTGCTTGGCAACAAAATCAAATAGCCAATTCTCAATGAATTAGAAAATTAATTCTCTTCTAAAAGAAGAGACCTTATATAGGAAAATATGTTCACAAAAAGCATATCCACACGTACCGCTGAGGTTTCTGAAGCAATTTTGAGGCCATTTGGGAGTGCTGTAATCTTAGTTTTACCAGGTTCAACATAGTCAGGCAATGAAGGTGGTAGGGCAACGCCTGGTAGAGGAAAATCTAGTGATGGTATGGACTTGGCCTGACTTCCAGTGACCCAACTAAAGAGGCCATCTGAAGAGGAGGATGTTGTAGCAACAGCACTTGAACTTGCAAACCTTGCAGGTACTCTGCGGCATGTGCGACCCTATAATTGAATTTTCATTCAAAGCATAGCACATTTCCAAGCATTCAGACTATCAATATGGGAAACTATTACTGGATGATACACAGCTGAAGTGTAAATTTTAAAAAAGGCACATGAAACAGCTGAGCATCAATACCCAGTTACAACAACGGTTACCTTCACAATAATATCCTTACTGAAGCTGCTAAGTCTAACTTGTTGACGTTTAAAAAATTCCTCCCAAATGTATATAACAATTATAAATGAAACAAGCAGAAGAAGAAATATCAATAAAACAACCAAAAAAAAAAGTCTTTGGCAGGCCTCCACCCTAAAGCTAGAGCTGGAGAAAGCTATTAAGACGAGGCCAAACCCTTCATTAAGTATAAGTTAGGTGATGGACAGACTCATCTTGGACAAGCATTCTTTGCCACACAGATTAAACTGTTCAGCTATTTCATTGCCTAGTACTAGTAGCTTGCTAAGCAATTAGTAGTTATTACATGGTGTTCCCCTGCTCTTTCTCTTAACAGATCAAGCAAAAGGTGTTGCAAGTCGCCAATATATAGACAGCTCAGAGGTTGATCCTCAGAATTCCAATGGATAAAAGAAAGGCCTAAAAGGAAAGACACCATCAGCTGTGATTCTTGGAGCTTAGGCTTGCTAGGACCACTTATATCTACTTCTTTTGGAGGGGGACAAAAAATGGGGAATATGGCAAAATAAACAACCCACTCTGGGCATATCATATGTTGCTTCATCACTAAAACTAGTAACATTTAGAATTAACTATCTTTCAAATATTGTTCGTGAGTTCATTATTTGCTTTATCTGTATGAGTATGGTGGTGGAAATTCTAACTCACTAGTTTCTCTTTTGGTTCTCACAGTAAATCACATTTCTGCACATGTAATCTGTTTTTTTCTTGCAGTTTATAACAATAATAATAAAACTCTTCCACAATATGAAGCCGCTTTAAAAACTGGAATTATATGGCTATCATAGTCTGGTGGCTCAATATTTTTATAAGATTAAATATATATTATCCTCAAAATTAAAAAAAAAAAAAGGAGACAATCACTCGAGAAACGTCTAATCTCAAACTGAACGAAGCTGAGATTCATAATCAAACCAATTTCTCATTTCTTAACTAAGACGAGATAAATACATTTAATTAAGAAATCAAAGTAACAAGGTAAGCATCATTAATGAATAAAAGAACAGATCTATTGAATAAATTCGAAAGTAATCGCAGAAAGCAAATATCGAATCGAACTAGCTTTGTTATATTCGAGATAGGAGGCTGATTGTGATAGTGAGATCGAATCATTAGCGACCACAAATTCTGGTTTCGGGAACTACTGAACTGACCTTGAGAGTGCGGAGGCGAGAAGCCGCGGTTCGGTACATCGTGATAGGCGGTCTGATCTCTGAGAAGCCCTAAATTGTACAGACGCTGTGAAGCTCCGTTTCGTTTTGAAGCCGAAGGGTTTTGCTGTAAATGGGAGCGACTGGATTGAGAGGTTACTGTTTTTCTTTATTTCTGTAATGTGGGGGTTTTGATTGGCGACTAGGATGTCGACAAGTGCGAAGCTTTCCCGAGACACGTGAGAGAAGAAATGGGTTGCAATCTGAGCCGTGTGATAAGTGAGTCTTGGTCTGCTTGCTCATGATCAACTCCTCGCCGTCCGATTGGCGTACTATTTGATTAATGAGATAGTTTTCTTTTTTTTATTAAGATCAATTTCAATTGAGGATTTTTTTTCGTTTGTTTTTTATATACTCCTAGTATAATTTTTCAATTTTATAAATGAGATTAAAAGATTTTTATATATTTTATTTTTAATATATGTAAATTTAAAATTTTCAGTAATAATGATTAATATAATTTTTCTTAATAATAGTACATGGTGTGATGCTCCTACTCAATCAATTTCTTTTAAAAATACTTAATAAAAATGTAAAATTTATACTTTGATACTAATATTTCATCAAATCACTTTAGAAAGAAAAGGGTTACTCAACATTATTGATAGAAGGAGAACACAAAGATTAACTAATTAAAATAAAAATTGGTATTGAAAAAACAATTATTTAAATTTAAAGTTCATAATCTTTCTTTAAGAAATATAATTGAATTATTTATGCTAATGTATTTCCTTTTAAGGCTTCAAATTTCATTAAAGGTGTTTCAATATTTTGTGCATTCGTCTTAGGTTGTGCGCTTACATTAATTATCAATGTTCAAGAAAATTCAAGAAAAACATGAGAATTAAGAGAAAATGGAAATTAAGAAAGAATGTTTGAATGTTTGAGGAGATATATATCTCAATGGCCTAGCAATTCTCACGCACTCCATCAACTGCAAAGCCTCGAGGTGAAGCTGATATACATGATGAACAAAAAAAATGCGAATCAAAACAGAGAAAGACAATCCCATTAATATAACCACATAAGAGGCATCGATACCGGGAAAGGAATATTGAATCCTCATGCTGTTAAATATTCCTTCCACAGGGCCACAAGTTGCCAATGGATTAAGCCTAAAACAGAAGGCAGACAAAGCCAAGATATTCTAAAATGGAGAGAACATTTCTCCACCATTCCACGATGGAATGTAGTGATACGCTGGAAGTTGCACTGGTTGCTATCCTGTCAATACCATTGGCTATGGTTTTAGGTCTTTTTTTTTTTTTTTTTTATAAAGAAAAGAAGGATGTAAGGTTACTTGTACTACTGTATTTTGGATGATGTGAAAATTCCTTTCTTAAAGAAACAAATTAGGCCCAGATTATGTAATGCAATCATCATAGTATCTAAAGGTATAGGATGCCATTTCTCCTTCCTTCTACTTGTCCAACAGCAACAGGATTCGGTTCTCTGTAATATTCATTCCTTTTCAGTTTTTTCTTAAATTGATAGATCCATGCATTTTTGCATTTGAATGGCTGTATATAGTACTATTGAAGTCAAGTTCCTTCTACAGTTTGCTTGAATATTGATGGAAATGATGGCAGCAGACTTGTGTCTCCGGCAGTATTCAGGAATTTTTTGCCAGCAATGTCTAAGAGTGTCTGGAACTTCATGGACACAGAATTGCACCTTGCCAGGGCTGTCAAGGGGTAAGTATCTACTAATTTCGAACCACATGATCGTTATATAAGCGTCAACAAGAAAAAATAGTTACAGTTGAAATTTTTAATTTATTTTCTCATTGAATCTTTCAGGTTTACTCAGGAAGTCATCACTCTCAGTGTCCCCCAGTGCTCAATTTATTTCCTGTTCCGTGCCATCTCTTAATGGTGGCATTATGCCAAAGAGAAAAGGCATTCATGTCATGTCTCCTGATCTACAAACACCAGGCTTGGAAATGGAGTGTCTTGATGCATGGGATGATGAATATAATGGGGTCATCATTGATACAGAATGCTTACCCTCAAGTGCAAATGCTTTTGCATCTGTCCTTCGTGCTTCTCTGTCCAACTGGAAGCTGAAGGCACGTTTTGCATGTATATAACATTCATAGGCCATGCCGGGCAAAGATGTTTGCACATGCATGAAAACATCATAAAAACATCATACATCATAAATTTCCAGCCATGAAGTCTCCAATTCACCTGAAACTATTTTTGAAAGATAAATACATAATTAAGCAACTAAGTTTTGACAAGCATGTGGAAACCTTCACATAATGCAAGTTAATTTTATGGAGTTATTTAAAAATTATAAAAGTAGATAATAACTGGAAGTAAAATGAAAAATGCAGGGGAAAAGGGGTATTTGGCTCAAGATAATATCAGAGCAGGCCGATCTTGTTCCAATTGCAATTCAGGTGATGAACTAGTGATCAATAATCAATGTCAGCATCTAGGCACATAACACAAACAACTGTTGTTTGAAGGTTATTTTGGTTCATGGATTTCCAGGAGGGTTTCGAATACCACCACGCAGAACCAGGTTATGTGATGTTGACTTACTGGATTCCAAATGAACCTTGCATGCTCCCCGGCAGCCCTTCTCACCAAATTGGTGTAGCAGGATTTGTCATCAATGAAAAAAGAGAGGTTGTCCATTACTAGTATTTAGTATAGTTTTCATGTCTTCTTTTCCCTTCTCTTTTACTCACCGAATTCTATTTTCTGATGATACTATATGGCCAAATTTACAAAACACAGGTCCTTGTGGTCAAAGAGAAGTGCCCTTGCAGTTGTTCTGGGGTATGGAAATTGCCTACGGGCTATATCAATAAGGTAATCACAGTCATAATCATACCTATTTTTTTCATTTTTCTTGGAGGAAATGATTTCTAAAGGGCAATAACAACGTGTGATCTTTTGATTTCTCTCCAGTACGAAGAAATATTTTCTGGAGCTGTGAGAGAAGTGAAAGAAGAGACTGGTGTAAGTAGCCTTATATACGACTTAGCCTTACTAGCATCTACTTGCAAACTTCGGAGGGATCATGGTTTTCTCTTGTTTCAGGTGCACACGGTTTTCTTGGAAATGGTTGCTTTCAGGTATTCAAGTACTCTGCTTCTCCAGTATTAATTCCATTCAAATCGGTCTCATTTGATAAACATATATATATATATATATAATGGTTTTTCACTTTTGATTTAAAATTTAATAGACATGCCCACCGAGTGGCTTTCGAGAAATCAGATTTACTCTTCGTTTGCATGCTAAAGCCTTTATCCTCAGAAATTGTAATTGATGAAAACGAAATTCAAGACGCTAAGGTAAATCAAGGTTTCACTTCATTGATACAGCATTAACAGCAGTCATTTCTCATTATCTTCTGGGTTCAAGCTGTTATTTGAGGTTGCAATGTTTTTTCAGTGGATGCCCCTTGGAGATTTCATCGAACAGTCATTTTACCGAGAAGACTACATGTCAAAAAAGATGATTTTAATTTGCATTGCCGCACATGAAAATGGTTACCATGGATTCACTGCACAACAGCTGATATCGAAACTTGATGGAAGACTTACTTTCCTTTATTACCAAAGGTCAAAGCAGATTTAGTGATATTAGCAAAAGAAAAATGCAAATGATACGCATCCGATGTGGTCTTAAATGTGCTTATCTGTGATAATTAAGACCCAAACCCATGTGATGATGTCCAAAGAAGAACATATATTAATATATTACGAGACTTTTAAACAAATTTAAACCAAAACCATTTAAAAATTTGACTCCAAATTTTCTGGTTTCCTAATGGAAAGTTCTGTAAAACAGTTGAAGTGTTATACGTGGCATCGTCTCCAGCATTCAAAAGGGGGAAACTGAAAAGGCTCACGTGCTTTGTGAAACCGTCGATCGAAATGGCTGGCTTTTGACAGGGCATATTCTAGATGGATCCGAATCTCGAGCCCTGCTCTGCTGACCAGATCACCTTCCAAGAAGCCCGTGTTTAAGGACTAGTATTGTTTTTTCTTGTATTTAATTTGATACGTCACGTTAACCCTTTGAGACTGTGTGACCTCTTGTTGTCTGGAATGGCCATTTGGGCATTGGGCAAAGGCATGCCAGCTTACGACCTTGGAAAATGACTCTATCTTCCTATGTCAACTCTATAGAAAATTAATCATGGACAGTCAATTTTTTATTTTTATAATTAATTTTTTTATTAATAAACTAATCTCTCTAATATATTTTATTTAATTTGAAATTTATATTCTTCCCCTCTTTTCAATTGACTTTTATTTGAAATTTGAAATAAGAAAAAGTAAAATCGGAAGATTGATCGAGAACGAGAATAGTCTATCAGCAGCCTAAACGTTCTAGACAAGGAAAAAAAAAAAAGAAAATGGAAGTGAATCTTGTTGAATACAAGAGAGTACTTCTGTTTTTTCCGTACATTTATTTGAATATTGAAATATATCAATAAAATTTAATTGATTAAATTTATTTTTTTTGATAACAAAATTTTAAATTTAAATTTTAATGATCATTTATTAAATCATTTTAAATATATAATTTATAATTATTTATTTTAAATTATTAAATACGATACATCTTATTTTAATTTAAATAATTAAATAATTTATTTATCATTAATTTTTTAATATATATATTAAAATGCGCCTTCAAAATTTTAATTTTGACATTTTATATTTTTTTTTTTAAGATCAGATGTACCTTTTATTTTATTTCTCGTGTAAATTCTATGTCATCAAACCATAAATTATAAAATATCTCTCCGAGCCATGTTCTTTGGTGCAAAAGAAAATAACCGTATTAATTCCTGTAGCATGATCCTTTACTAACCCTATGTGAAATCAGCTATTACCTAGCCGCGGTTGACAAATCCACACATTAATTTGACTTTAACATTAGACTACGTAGAAGAAAGCCATCAAACATTTTGATTTTAACGAGTTAAACATTTGTTCTGTTCCACGGGCATGATTATGTTTGACGAAATTGCATTTCAATACTTATAAGGCACAATGGATCCCTTTAAAAATATATTGTAAAAAAGTAATAACACTTCAATTCAAATCGTATTTGATTTTTTTAAAATATTATAATATTATAAAAATTTAAATTTAAATTAAATTGAATTAAATTTTATTGGTGTGATTCAATTTAATTTTTTAATTTTTATATATTATTTTAATATAAAATTATTATTTTTATTTTATAAAAATTTAAAATATATTTAAAATATATATAATTTGATTCGATTTAATTTTTTTGATTTTTTATCTTTTAATATAAAATTTAATTCGAATTTAATATATATATTTAATATATAAATTTATCTCAATTAATACAAAATAAATTCAAATCAAGTATTTTAACTTAAAATTAATTTTTAAATTTTTAAATTTTTTTCTCTCCTAATAGTAGTTTTGAGTGTATTGATGAAATGCACGATATTTTTGTAATCATCGGACAGACAAACATGCAGTCGGTGTAGCTTATTTAGATTCTAATGTAGCTTAGCTTCATAATTGCTATCCAATGTGCGTTATTATTCTGGTATTAGACTGCCCCTCAAAAAAAAAAAAAAAAAGCGGGACCAGACCCTACCCAAAACCCTTTTTTTTTTAACTTATCGGCCAAGTCCAAGAAAATAAAAAGACATTTCAGTCGAATCTATTACTTTTATGTCCCAAAAAATCTTTGCGCAAATTGAAATTTCCAAAATTCACTTTTCTCTTTCCTCCCAGCTTTCTTCTCCCAAACCCACTGCGATTGGTATTGTAACTGCAACTCGGGAAAGGAAGCCAAAAAAAAAAAAAGAAAACAAGAGCGTCGAACAGAATAACCAACAGCGGAACCAGGTTTTTCCAACTCTTCTTTCTGCTATATAAAGCCAATTTCCCCCCTCTCCCCCTCCAAACAAACACAAAATAAGAAGGGTCATCCAACATTCATTTTTAGTCAAACAGTATTCTCCTATAATTATGGATTTCTCTTATTTCTCTATTTCTTCGAAAATCTCGTCTCCATGTTCCGTTGAATGGATTCCCTTCTCGCCCCTCGTTCCACGTCGTCTTTCTCTTCTCCACTGAATAATAATAAGAATTATTATTATTGTAATATTAATAGTGAGAATAAATCGAGCTTTTCGGTGCCATCGAGTTTTCGAATCTTTAATTTGAGAAAGTTTAGTACGGTTAGTTTTGGTTACGGTTGCGATTGTCGTTTGATGGGAAGGAGTTCTGGTTGTTCAAAGATCGACTGTTTGACACGTGTTACGATGGATTTCTCTGCTTCTGCTGCTTCGCCTGAGATTGCAAAGCCTAAGATCGTCACCGGTCCTGGTGGTTATGTTCTTGAGGATGTTCCTCACTTATCGGATTACATTCCTGATCTTCCTGTATGCTTATTCTGTCTTTTTTCCTCTTTCTACGTATAATTATACGTATTCTTTTAAAAAGCTTGATTTCCCTGTCTCTTTGTTGGCAACAAATTACAATTTTAGATTTCAGTTTCAATTTTTTAAAAAAAAAGAGGTTGTATTTTTCATGATTTTCTTATTTTTAAAGTTAATTGATGAGAAATTTGTTCTAAATCTGATTTTATGTTTTGACAGACTTATCCCAATCCGTTGCAAGACAATCCGGCATACTCAGTTGTTAAGTAAGCCTAATTTCACAGCTCCTTTTTAACAAATTTTATTTGATATCTATTGTCGATTGTGCAAATGTTGTTGAATTAGTATTAATTGGATCGATTTCTCTGTTTCACCAGGCAATATTTTGTTCATGTAGATGACACCGTTCCTCAAAAGGTTAGCCTTCCTTGTAATTTTGTTTTTAATTTATCTAAGCATTCGTTTATATTTATTTCAATGTTCTCTTTTCTTCTTTATAGATTGTTGTTCACAAGGATAGTCCAAGAGGAACGCATTTCCGACGAGCTGGACCACGTCAAAAGGTATATGTTTAATGTTATGTACCTTAAGAATGAGATTTGGAATGTTGAAACTCTGCATTTTGTTTTACAACTATGTGTTGGATATTTGATGGTTGCCTAGGTATATTTTGACTCTGATGAAGTTCATGCCTGTATTGTGACGTGTGGTGGTCTTTGCCCTGGACTCAACACTGTGATTAGAGAGATAGTATGTGGCTTGAACCACATGTATGGTGTGAAGAAAGTTTTGGGGATAGATGTAAGTGATCGTTTCACCTCTAGTTTGTTCTTCTTTATGGAGTTTACTTTCCTATTACTCCTTTTGATTTTCCCTACAAATGATAAACAAATAAGCGAAAAGTTTCTTGAAGCATTAATGCTTTCTGGCTCTGAGTTGTTAATAATGGCACCATATCTACATGACTTAATAGAAACATATAAATTTTATTACATGGACTGCTTCGTTAAATGTGTCAACCTACTGCTTTCATCCGGGTATATGTTGCTTTCCCTTGATCAGAAGACACTGCAATATAGATATTCATCATTTAATAAGTTGGTGCATTAGCGATTAATGAGTTTAATGCATTTGCAGGGAGGATACAGGGGATTTTATGCTAAAAAAACCGTGCATTTAGATCCCAAGGTTGTCAAAATATATATTATATCCATCATTTAATAAGTTGGTGCATTAGCGATTAATGAGTTTAATGCATATGCAGGGAGGATACAGGGGATTTTATGCTAAAAATACCGTGCATTTAGATCCCAATGTTGTCAATGATATCCATAAACGTGGTGGAACAATCCTTGGGACATCACGAGGTGGGCATGATACTACAAAGATTGTTGACAGCATTCAGGATCGTGGAATTAATCAGGTCTGTAAAAAAATTTAGATGATATTTGCGATTGTCGACCATAAGTTGAATTTCAAGTAGTTATTATGATGAAGACATGCCAATCTGACTGACATTTGATCATTTGTGGTAACTCAGGTTTACATTATTGGCGGTGATGGAACTCAGAGAGGTGCAGCTGTTATATTTGAGGTGATTTCTTTAATGGAATATACACACATTGATTTGTACTGTGAATTTGTGCATATTAAAAAAAAATTTATTCCACACTTTACAGGAAGTTAGAAGGCGAGGTCTCAAAGTTTCAGTTGCGGGAATCCCTAAAACCATTGACAACGACATTCCAGTAATCCTCTTAGCTCGGATAGAATGTTGCTGTACCAAAAGCCTGTTAGGAATTGCAACCTTTTTTTTTTTTTGGTTACTACACAGTCTTGAAACTTTATTTCTTTTTGGCACTTGGTAGGTTATTGACAAATCCTTTGGCTTTGACACTGCCGTTGAGGAGGCTCAACGTGCTATTAATGCTGCTCATGTTGAAGCTGAAAGTATTGAGAATGGTATTGGTCTTGTGAAGTTGATGGGTCGCTACAGTGGTAAGTATCTCTTTTGGTCTCTCTTGAAGTGTTAATTGTGCAATGCAAGAAGTGAGACAGTTACGATTTTATCAAGTTATGATATTTTACATAAATCTTTTCGATTTTAAGTTGAGTGTCATTTAAAAATATTCTTGGTTTTGTTCTGCAGATGAGTTCACATTCCCCTTAATTATGTTTCCTTGTTTCCTGAAACTGTGTCAGAATGTTCTTTTTATTTTGGTTAATGCAATCTAAACCCAACTTATGGACAGGTTTTATTGCAATGTATGCCACTCTCGCAAGCCGAGATGTGGATTGTTGCTTGATCCCAGAGTCACCCTTTTTTCTTGAAGGAGCTGGAGGGCTTTTTGAATACATTGAGAAACGACTTAAAGAAAATGGGCATATGGTTATCGTGATAGCAGAGGGTGCTGGCCAAGAGCTGCTTTCCGAGAGCATGAAATCAATGACACAGAAAGATGCTTCAGGAAACAAGCTTCTCCAGGATGTTGGGCTATGGATATCACAGAGGATCAAGGTATGCCATATGGATTCAATTTAGGAACAATTCATATCTTTTGAGGTAGCAATATGGTGAAATGCTCCAGGATTTGCGTTTCTGCTACACTCCAATCTGAGCAAACGTGTGATGATGCATGTTATGGAATTTCTTGGTGTAACATTCATTGGTTTTTGCCTGTCATTTTCAGGACTACTTTTCAAAACAAAGGAAGATGCCCATAAACCTCAAATATATAGGTTAGTAGAATAGATACTTGAGATGTTTTTGAGGATTTCTTTTTGCCACAGAAAATACAGGTGTTTTTGAGTTAAAGTAGCTAGTTGTTGGCAGAAGTTATTGAGCATCGTACTTTGTCTCCTGGCAGATCCTACTTATATGATTCGTGCTATCCCAAGCAATGCATCTGATAATGTTTACTGCACACTTCTTGCCCAAAGTGTTGTGCATGGAGCGATGGCAGGGTACACTGGCTTCACAAGTGGTCTTGTTAACGGCAGGCAGACATACATACCGTTCAATGTGAGTTCATCCTAAAATAATTTAAAAGAGTTTTAATTTGGAAAATTCTTCTAGAAAATTGTTGTTTTATATTGCATGTTTTATTAAACCCAACTATTTAAAGATAGTGTGATTTTAGTACCTCTTATGTGACGTTGACATTTTCTGGTTCTTTGCATGTATAACTTCTGATGGTGGTCAGTTCATCTTTTGTGTTTTTGATGATGTTCACATTCTTTAGAGCATTCCTTAAGATTCTATTATTCCTTGAAACACTTACATCTAGCTTTTCTAGGTTTCATGTATGCCTTATGATAATAGAGTCTCCCAAGATGCGTTTGGATAGGGAATTTTGAAATTTTGAAGAATTTTAAAATACTAGCATTTTGAAATACATCAATTCAAAATATCAGAGTTTGTAATTGTATTATTTGGATAATTAGTTTTTAGATTTTAAATATTAGAATATGATGAGATGAAAAATAATCATAATAGAAAAATAATGATATTAGAGATCGAAAAAGCAAAATATTAAAAAAATTTATGCAATATAGGTGTCATTAGATTTGTAAAAATGTGTAGATATTACTAATAATATGAAAAATATTAAAAAATAAATTTTATAATGAGTTTTGTAGTTAAAATTGAAAAAAAAAAAAACAAAAACAAAAGTTGCATAAAGAACAAAAACATAATAAATGTTGACTTTTTACTATAAAATTAAGGAATTTCACAAATTCCATCTCCTTGGGTAGAATTTGAAAAGAGAATTTGAGTCATCTAAAATTCTTTCTTCAAATTTCAAGAATTTTGATAATTTCAATTTTTATTCAGCCAAAGTAATTTCATTTTAAAATTTTAAAAATCTTTTTACAAATGAAATCTTTCCTTCAAATCCCTCACCCAAATGCACTCCCACGGAATTTGTTTTGATGTTTATTTATTTTTATAGGGGTGAGGAACAAATATTCCCCAGAGAACATGCCTTGATGTTTATTTTTCCTCTAGGGGGTGGTAAATGAAACTAACACCGTTCAGTAGTAATTTTCTTTTGGCTTCTGTCTGAGTATATGTAGAGTTGTTCAAAAATCACTTGCATCGTATTCTGTGACAACTCTTGTCCCTTCCAAGTTTAAGAGGGGTGAAATTGAAATTTGAAATCTTCAAATCATTTTGTGTGTAATTTACCCTTTGCCTTTATGGCTAAACTGATGACTAAGGTAGTGACAATAAGAAATTTGTTGAGATGGTAAGACTAAATTATACATTTTCGTTTAGCAGTAATGTTTATGGATGCAACACCTTAAAACTTTGTGTTTGAGATGGAGTTAATTTTTGGATGATTTCTCTGCAGCGAATCATCGAGAAACAAAACCATGTTGTGATTACAGATAGGATGTGGGCAAGGCTCCTTTCGTCAACAAATCAACCAAGCTTTTTGAGTGCTAAAGATGTTGAAGAGAAGGGTGATGAAGAACCGTCAAACCAATTGTTGGATAATGGAAATTGTGGCCAAGAGACTTTTGTTTCGAATGAGGTAACCAACTGAGGTTGGTAGTTTACCACTGCTAATGCTTAGCCCGCAGTTAGAATAGCATGCTGCGACAAACACCCTGAATAATACTGTTGTGCAAAATTCGGCAGTTTGATTTCTTTTGCTTCATGAACCCTAAGAGTAAAAAGAACTTATTATATGGTTGTATTCCTCCTTATGTGCTGCAATATTGTCAATTTATGATGACAATGTTGAATGGAAGTGATAATTTTTAGTGTGCGTATTTCAAGTCAGTCCTGATCCTATCCTGGTATGAAAACAAGTCACAAAGTGCTGGTTAATGCCTAGTACTCCCTATTATGCAAGCAGGGAGTTGCTAGGCCGAGTAATGCATGGGGATGATCCAAGGCCTTTTGCTTGGATAACGAGGAAATAAATGGACCTTTAGAAAATATATGATAATAATTTATAATTATTGTTCCCTTACTGTGAATCCTAAATTACTATCGGATTGGCGAATCGAAACGTGACAAAAAAAAGTTTATTATTTTGCTTCTGCCATTCCTTTGGGTTTGATGGAAGCGTAGAACTAGATAATAGTTGTGAACACGAATTTTCGGTTTTCTATAAAACTTTATTAGATTTTTATGCTTTTCTACGTACTAATGATTGTTATTCTCTTTCTATAGCACATTAATGATATATAAAGTGAAATTAGAAAATCTATTTGCGCGGTGAGGATGACCTTGCTCTTGTAAGAATAAGAAAATTACTTAAAGCATATAAATTTGAAAATTTTAGGAATGCAATCGGTTTTGCCTTCTGATTCCTTGGCAAGAGGATATGGATTGATAAAATTTAAAAAAGTAACTACTAAAAAGTCACCTATTTTTGAGCAAAGAGGTTTTCGGCCCAGGCCCAGCTGATCATGCAGGAATCACTAAAATTATTACCCCATAAAACGTGAAAGGTAAAAATCCTCGGTCCTAATCTGCAAGTTTCCCATTGAGCTCAACAACAACGGCAACAAAAGCCCATGTGCACAGAAAGGGGAAAAATATAAAGAAGCGCGATCAATTTTGCTGGTAGAGGATAGAGATTCAGATCCAGAAGGAAGAAAGAGAGATGGGGATCAGATTCATATTGATGGTGAACAAGCAAGGGCAGACTCGTCTCGCCCAATACTACGAATGGCTCACCCTCGAAGAACGACGTGCCCTCGAAGGCGAGATCGTCCGCAAGTGCTTAGCCCGCACCGAGCAACAGGTTCTTCACATTTCCCCTTCTCATGCCTTCATTTTATAAATTGCACCTAAGAAAAAGCATTGCGTTTAAACATTTTATCTGTTCGCGATTTGTTAGGGATTTGGATTTTTCAAATTATAGCTGCTTCAGAATTATGCTCTATTTATTCATTTCCGTCATCATTTGTAATTTCCCCCATCTCATTTATAAAAATCTGGGTTTTGATATCATTAATTTCTTTTTTTTTTTGGTTAAATTGTGACAGTGTTCGTTTGTTGAGCATCGAAATTACAAAATCGTATACAGGCGATATGCTTCGCTGTTTTTCTTAGTTGGAGTTGACAATGATGAAGTAAGTTCCGTTTCTTCCCTTATTTTCTAACACCATTTTAGCAATAAAAACCTGATTAAGCATCCAACATATGTTCTTGACATTGGGTGAAAATCGGAGAGAAAATGAATTTTGGATGACTTCTCTAGAACTTGGGTTTTGATATGAACCAAGACTTAAATTCAAGCTTATATTCATCTTTATCTTCTCTTGTCTTTGATGTGGCAGAATGAGCTTGCAATTTTGGAATTTATACATCTCTTAGTTGAAACCATGGACCGTCATTTTGGCAACGTAGTAAGTTCTTCCCCAAGAAGATGGATTAATCTCTAACCCTTTCAAAGTGACTGGACTTGTGTATTTGTGTCTTTAATCATTGTTATCTCTTTGTTTATTGATTTTTTTTTTTTTGCAGTGTGAGCTAGATATCATGTTCCATTTAGAGAAAGCACATTTCATGTTGGAGGAAATGGTTATGAATGGTTCTGTTGTTGAGACAAGCAAGGCTAACATTCTGACTCCAATTCAGCTGATGGACAAAGCATCATGAGGAAAAAAAAAGGGGTTAGTTTTCTAGATTGGATATGGCGATTGTCTTTGAGCATCCTGGCAAATTGTTTTTTATTTTCTCCCTGTTTCTTTTCTTTTTTTGTTCGCCCTTTTCTTTTCTATTTCAACTTTTTAAGTTTTGCAAGTCGTACAATAAGTTAAATAGAAACAAAAACCTTCAACAGTTTGCTCCATACTTAATTGTATCTAGTGTTTGCTTGTATGATAGTTTCATGGTAGAAGTGGTTTAATGACATTTGATTTTTTTTCATAGCTTGGCACTCTATAGTCCATTGAAATTGGCACAAAAAGTGGCCCAAAAATTCTAATACTAGCTCTTGTTTAATCAATTTACACCTACCCTAATGCTTGCTCATGTTTGTACCAACTACCATGGATCAAACGACTGTCACTCGTTCTTTTCTCTCACAATACAACATTTGCTTCAGTTTCATGGCATTGAAATGACCTTCTGGTCTATTCGTTCAAATCAGGGGCCTTATGATAGTCTTCTGGATGCTAGATTCACAGTGATGGTACTGTACTGCTGTTCCCAAAAGATTAAGACATAAAAATGACATATTGCTTTGAGAACTGATAGTTTGCAAGTTATTCAAACATCCTATGGCACTTGAGTACATGAGGGGAGCTTGTACAAAATTTCAATTACGTACAAAAGATTGTAGGATGACTGTATAAATGAACTAAATTTCGGATTTAGTAGTTAACGACTTTAGTTACAACGAATGACGATAAAAACACACATTTCAATTTATTTTTTACGTAACTCAGCAAATATAAATCATATAATTGGGTGAAGAAAATGAAGCACCCAGCCGCCCAAAATTTCCTTATGCTAAGGCAGCTAATTAATCAAGCTTTCAGTCTTTAATCTCACATCCTTAATTAAATTTCTTCAAGCTATTACCACTTGAGCTTTGCTGGGAAATACTGCAACAAAAAATTTTCACTTTTAGGAAACAAAAGAATCATAAGGTGAAAGTAATTTGCCCTACAAATAAATGCAGTACTCACTTTTTCAATAAGTGAAAGATAATATGGTTTGACTTTTTCAACGTCAACCAGGACTTTGCTCTTGCTGTAGAGGTCATATTTGCTGTAAAATTAATATTTCAAAGAAATTAAAAAAATAATTTGGCATAAATTCATGTAGACAAAAAAGTTATAAGAAAAAGAATATCAAAATGAAAAATGATTGAATTTGAGGCTCACTTGAATATTCTGAGCCACTTCAAATTCTCCTTATCCTCTTCATTCAGTAAGTGCGTGTATGCTTCCTCCTTATGTAAAGCTGCATAAATTGAAATTATTTACATTAAATACTAATTAATATATAATTTAAAATATAAACTAAATTGCACATTATAAAAAATTTCTTAAATTTGAGATTCAATCTGTTTGATTTATATAATTAATCTTAAAAAGTAACATCCAACAGATCTGATTTAATTTTTTCCTATATTCTCAAACTTTGATCCCTTTCATACCAAAAATAAAATTTTGTCTCAATTAAATATCAATTCATAAGTGCTTACGATAAAGGGAATGATATCGGATAATGAACAACCCGGCTGAAGGTAGAGTAGTTCCATTTTCCTTGGCTACCTGTAAAGTTAAAGACAAACCTTATAATGACATGTTTTTTTAGTATGTAATTAATAATTCGAAGAGTTATAGAAAAGGTAAACTGAAAAAAAAAAAAATACCAAGTACATATAGTCATCGTGCCCCCATGAAATCATGACATTATCTAGCCCACAGCCTTCGGAGTAAATTCCGTTCTTAGTGTTGTAAGCAGGATTGTTATAATCTGGGTTTTCCTTGAAATACTGAAACACAAAAGAATTTTTGGATTTTATTTTAGTTTATTGTTTATCTTAAACAAATTATGGATTTATGGATACAGTTTTTTTTTTTTTTGTTTTTGGAGGAAAGAGAAAAGACCTTGTGGTGAATATTGGCCTCATCAAAAGCACATCCTACAGGGAATGTGTCTCCTGCAATTTACATATTGACATTGATTGATTGTTTAATCGGAATCACTCAAAACAATAAAACAAAAATCATATAAAGCATGATGATAAACTCAAAACTCACCAACAACAGCCCATTGTGGAAGCCCTCCAAACTTGGGTAGAAGAAGAACCTTTCCAAGATCTGGAATCCACAAACCTAGTAGATTAATTCCTTTCCTTTTTTTGTTTAAGAAAAAAATCCTTTATCCTTTTCAAAGTTTCAAGGGGGGCTATTATTTTGGTAGTTATCCAGTAAGGCAGGACCATCTTGTTTTCTATATATAGATTTGGTGGGGCAGAAGCCATGGATTGAATCAAAATATGGGTATGGATGACAGTTGTATTAAGTTGTTGCATAGACTAGGACAAAGGAAGTTTATACCATGAATAAGAGCAGTCAAATGAAGCCAGTCTTCATCAGGATAATCCTTTCTAATAGCTTCAGCTGATTGCAATAGGTGCTGAATTTGAGGTTCATCCAGGTCAGGGTCGCTGTCATCGACGACCTCATTCAGGAGCTGGCAGCATTCCCATATGCTCATTTCCATTCTGTCCAATTTGGAGTACTCTTCCCTCATCTGTTGCACCTGCATCGGAAGTTCACTTATCAAACAACGAACAAATGAAGGCCACAAAGTTGAAATTATGTTTAGGTCTGCTTACAAAGTCGTATGTCTGATGAATGTGCTGCTGTCTGTAGAATTCCTCCACGCTCTCCTGCCTTTCACTTTCTGCATTATAATCCCTGCAAAGCCATTTTATTGTTAAGATTTCTCTCAATGGAAAACAAACGGGGACATTGTCAAAGAAAAAGTTATGGGTCAATTCATATACCTGAAGGAGTGGCCAAATGAGTTGATTTCAGGTGCCAAAAACCCATCACGTGGCACCGGAAATCCACCATCCAACACCAATTCGTCAGTTTCCTCAACATGCTTCTGGCACTCAGCTTGAGACTCTGTTAAACATTAAAATGAAGCCAATAAGTGACTGTTTCACAAACTCAATTTTATTAGACTCCATGGAAAAAAAAATGGTACCTAGCTCAGGCTTTTCAATAAGGATAGTCATTTTCCCTCCAAGAAAATGTTAAAACAAAGTAGTAAAAAAAAAAAAAAAAGTAGCCCAAAAACTTGTCTACAAAGAAAACCAACAGAAAAGCTCAATCGAATGACTTCTTGTATGCGGTCGGTGATGTTGCAATGGAGGGGTTTTTATAGTAACATAAGAAAAGTCCTTCCTTGTCAATTGGAATTTTTCATGTCCTCAACTGAAAAATCTTTAGTTTCTTCCTCCAACCATTTTATCTCCAAAAATGGAATAAATCACCTTCACAATAATCCAAACACGGGATCTAATCACACCTGACTCACTCCTTTTGAATGAGTGTGACCCTCAACTTCCAATCAATTTCTTCCACCTGTCAAATCATCTTTAAAATATCTGGGTATAAAAAATATAATATCAAGATTTAAATGTAAAGATGATAAATATTATCTTCTAAAAATAAAAAAAATTAACGAATTAAACTTTGGATTTAAATTTATTTTAAGTAAACTAGTGTAATTTCTTTGTTTAGTCAATTATCTACAAATTCACTGGCCAAAAAAATTATCTAGAAATTTATTATTATTATTATTATTATTATAGGATTAAATTTAGAAATTAGGATTTAAAGTTGTAAGATAATAAAATGAGAATGCGTTTATTCCGAGATAACTCAAAAATCCTAAAAAAAAAAAAAACTAAATAAAAAATTTGGAGTAGGAGACTGACTCAGCTCTACGTGGATAACGTATGTTATTATCAGTTGGTTCAGACTGACGCAGCATCTAGTCATGGCCAACGACTCAGATTTGATTTTTTTTTTTTTTTTTTTGGGGTGGGAGTTGGGAGAGGAGTGCGTTTCAAATCAACGGCTGAACCGTGTTGATGTGTTAATCACAGCTCAAAAACACATCAGAAAAAAAAAAAGGTAAGAACAAAGCGAATCAGACGGGTGAGATTATGTCACGTTGCTGCAAAAGTCAACGTCGGTAGAGGAGCAAGCTGCTGCAAATAGGTCAGAGACGTTGCCAGCAGAGATCTTTGCATATTTTAGAACCGACAGCATTGCTTCGCTTTGGCTAATAAATAAGATAGTTGGTGCGTTACCAAAGGAAAAATTCTTTATTTTTGGGATGGGGTGATGAGAATGAAGTGTTAAAATAATGGCATGCACTAAGATTAAGAAATGAAAAATGCAAAGGTAATATAAATATTTTTTATTTTCATGTTACGATTTTATTTTATAAAAAAAATATATGAATTTACAAAAAATTGAAAGATATTTTTTTTAAAATGAATTATAAGAAATTAAGAGAATGGTATCAAAACTGTCATAATTCTTAATAAGATTGGTCTTATTTAAATCAATTTTTTTTTATGGTTAATTCTCTTGAAGTTTTTATTTATACTAAGTTTTTTATTAAATTTTTTATGATTTCAATGCGATGGAAAGTCATTCACTTCATATTGAAAACTATCCGCTGATGATTCCAATTCGGTGAAAAGTCATTCATCCCATACTAGAGATTTTCATGGAAGTAAGCTATAATAGATTATATTATTTGATTTGAAATTGAGAAAGCTATCCTACGTTCACAATGACTACTAATCTAAAATTTTGAATTTTAGAGATATTTTTCTTTAGTTTTTGCATTCAAATCTTTGTTAATAATTTCATTAACATGGTACATGCATTTGATCTTGAATTACTCATGAAAGAGTTTCCCATGGTTTAATTAAAAAAAAAAAAAAAGAGTTGAATCACGTATTGTTTTATTGACTATAAATAAGAGTTGCAATTGAGGCGTTGAGTGGTTTCCAAAATGATTGCTTTAGCTATGATCAAACCGTCATGTGGAAGACTTTTGTGAATTTGTTAGAAAATTAGGGAATGAGTACTATATATTAATTAGACTTGGTATTAAGTCAAATTGTTTGGTTATAGGATGATTGGTAACCTTGTTTCTCACTTGAAATATGATCTTATTATAAATATATATATATATAATATTCATGTGTCATTTTCGCATGTAACATAAACATTTTTTCCTTTTTTTTTTTCTGGATGTTTGTCACTTGATTTGATTATTATTATCTTCTTAAAGATGGATTTGAAGGCCATCCCTTTTTCTTTGAAATGAGTTGAGACTTGGAAAGTTAGAAGCCACTCAACCCTAATTTCTCTCAAGCTATGAGAGCATCTGGGAATGCTGGGAGCTACTCAACGAATATCGACGAGAGTGGCCCTGATCTGGACGAGCCACAATGGAGCAGCTCCCTCCAGAGTGCCTAAGCCTTCCGCCAGGCCTACCCTGATGAAGACTGGCTCCATCTCACTGCCCTAATGCACGGTTTACAATTGTCTCCAGCCCTAGCTTAATTATACTAACCTGCATGCGTATACTGACAAAAAATACACATGCACGATTGCACGTGCAAAAAGCTAATGTTTACAATGTGCAAACGTTACTGACTTGGGGAAAGTTGTGTTTCCTCCCTCATTTGGCCGGCGCTCAGCCACAATGGGTTGCCGTTGCTGCATTTGATATTTTGATCATTTATCAGCTCGTGAACCTTTTTTTTTTTTATGATAAATCAATATATAGGATGAGATATATATATATATATAATTTGGTGGTGTATGTTTCTAATTGCTAGGTAACACGTTTCCTCTTTTGACGAATCTATTATGAACCACCATGTCAATTTATATATCTCCTTACGATTCATAGTTAAATGTTCTCTTTCAGATTGAAAAATGTCAGCTATAACAAGATATATGCAGAGATTAATCTATTAAGGCTCATTAATTTAAAAAGTGTTTAGAGCCCAAAGTCCAAATGAAATTGAGAAAGAATGTTGACATTCTACGTCGAGTTCTATAATCCTTGTAATATTGTTGTCAAAATGAAATAGAACCTAAACCTGGGCGTGATTCCAATATTATAGTAATTTAATTTGGTTCATTTCGTTGATATTTTTATATTTTTAATAAAAAATAAAAACACCAATCAATCAAATCTTAATTCTCTTTAATTTTTGGTACTTTGAATTGGACAGCCGTACACCGATCTGGATCTTATATTTACCCGATGAATGATAAGGACAAGGAGATGTTGAAGTGGCTCAAAGTCATGTTCAAGTGTACATGGTTTTCTCTTTCCTTTTGTGCGTATATAAAAGAAATGACAGCAATATTAACTTACAACTCAAAGGTAATTAACCAGAACCTCATTTGATTCACCACATAAGTAGGGGGAGATCAATGATCATCCATCCATCTGTTTCCCTCTGTAGCAAATATGATCTGTGTAACAAAAACAAGGTGAGGATCAACGTCGAGGAAGTGAAGCCATACTATCTCTCCCTCATCCACAAGGTGTTCATATAGAAAATACACCATGTACTTTAGGCAGCCATATTTCCTATTTCAAATATTATTCATGTAACTGGTAAATATTACAATGGTTTCCTACTCTTTTATTTCTTCATTTTCTTTCAGCACTTTCCTGATAACTCAAGTGGTGAAGGAGAAGACCAAGGAGGCAAGGAATAAAGCTCTCTAGCAGTCCCCACAGACATAGAGTTGTTGGTCATGCAGGCCACCATTTGCATCTTTATGTCGTCTAATAGTTTAATAACGCTAGCTCGTTTGCTTGCTAGCTAGTTTGTTCGTGTTTGTTGGGGTTCAAATTTTCTTAATCTATCTGAACGCTGCCTTCGACAAGTAAGCTTGACTACAAATTTCTCAAGCAGTCATTCATGTAACACTATGCTAATACTAGTGAACTTTCTGATGGATGATTCGGCTGAAAAGTGATTAATGAGCCACTATGAGATTGGGGATTAGGCCACTTTTCTTTACCCTTTTTGGGGTAGAGATGAGCCCTCCAGCACATGGGCCCTGGTCATTAGGAGTAAAAAGTTAGCTCCAAAGGGCCCGACTTGGGTTAAGAATGATCTGATCTAAGCCTAGTTTAAGAAACCTTGAACCTTGGAAATTTTCATTGTAGAACCTAGTAGCTTTAGGCCGAATCAATACTCTGCTTAACGTAATTATCAAAAGCAAAAAAGCTTAGATTTGTTCTCTAGACAATTGGTTCAACAAAAGGCAATCATTCTCTTCAACTTTAAAATAAAGAGTTTCGACCTACCTTGCTGTCTCAATCTTTAGAAATAAGGCAACTTTAAAGATTCAAACACAGCAAGCAAGGAATTATAGTTCACATGCACTTGTTCAGTACTCAAGTAATATGGAGCCACCATTATATTGCATGCAGATAGATATTTTTCTCTTTTAAAAACAACCTTCTCTGTTATCTTTCTGATTGCTTTCACAACTTGTGGGTTGCAGTTGGGCCCCAATTGCAGTATTTGGAGGAAACAACCATTTGATCCTAGTTTAAGTGGGTAGATTTACACCCCCCCCCCCCCCAACCCCTCTTTCGCACTTTCTGGATTTAATACAATAGCTTCATTTGCACTCTAGCTTTTATCCTGTTCTCCCCACTTCAATCCAGTGCCCTGCTAGGCTGCTGCCATCAAAATCACTGACTCTCCTTGGAGCTTGACTTACCTTGGAGCTTGTTACCTCGGCTTGGTAGATGGATGATAAAATTCAGTCACAAGACGAGGAATCTTGGGAGGGTTTGCTATTGCTAGCAGAGGGAAGGACGGGACAAACTTTGTAAATCAATAATTCCTCCGGAAAGATCCAATCCTCGTAGCAAATTTCTTTTGTCATTTCTACTCAAAGCTGTCACGTTTCTGCCAATCTTCGAAGAACTTGATTTATGTGATAAAAACTATGTTTTTACTTGTTATATTTATCAATCAGGTCATGCCATATTACTAGCTTGTCAGTGTAAACTGACCGCTAAGAAATTGAAAATGAAGCGATCAAATTCATTCAAACATCCCTGTCATCTATTTCGGAAAAAAAAAATCAAACACCGTACCAAACCTAGGGCACTTCCAAATAATCTTGCCTGCCAAGAAACAATATAAACAGTATACTATGGGTTGATTATGACATCCAACGATGGCAGATTCTCTGGAAATCAAAATCACTCACGATGCTTTAGTCAATTCAAAATTTTATCTCTAATCTTCCCTTGGGACCTC